CTAGGAGCAAAGGGCATCGCTACTAGGAGCAAGAACGCTACTAGGGGGTCTTTCTGGTCCACACCGTTGCGAAAACATGATGTCCACCGGTGCCCTCGAGCCTCCAGGGCCTTCTGGTCGTCCGCTCGGGCCGTGGCGGCGGAGGCCTCTCGTCACCGAAACGAACATCGATGGGGCCACCGGACCAGGTTTGATACGCCCGGTTTGACATTGTTCGGGAAACTGGCATGAAGATACTATAGGGATCTATAGGGATCCAATACGGTATACGAGCTAGATGGGTGAAATGGGTTCCAACAAGGATCTGTGATGCATTGAATCTGCAATGTCTGAGTTGCGCTGACTCATGCTTGACCTTGCCTGGAACTACTTTTCTTTGTCCCAAACCCGGTGGATACCTGCTGACCATCCACATGGACCCTACCCTTCTCATTGAAACCTCCATAATCTCTGCATGACGTACCGGATATTTTAGGTGCCGGACGCCCCAAATGATTGAGAGTCCTGGTAATCCTGGAATCATTGGCACGCTATTCCACCAGCCCGGTCAGCTCCCTCACACCTCGCTGGTAGCTTTGAGCTCCTGGACACGCTGCTCGACCTCTTTCTCGTGCTCCTGGAGAGGGTGTAGAGTTCTGAAACATATTGAAGGCAAAACAAACCTCAACAAAGAACCGTGGTCCAGCATGCAGAAAGGATCATTGCCGGTATATAATACATTATGTGGGTCCTACTATGATCCTATACAGTAGTACTGCGCGGCGCAGTCGGAACCCCCAGTTGGTGGAGGCCTGCAGGATGAAAATCGGAGATGCAGGAGGTGATTAATTCTTTGTCCGACCACATGAATCTCAAGTATACCCGGCATTGGTTCACCACCCTTCTTGGCGGCGTCCTTCGTCTTCTCGACCAGGGCTTTGTGCTCGCTCGTCTGCCGGGCTGGACACGTGCCGCGTGGGTCCAATGTTCAGGACTCAGAGGGACCTTTCAACAAAGGAACCAAAGGCCAGAGCTGTCCCCACGCAGCCAAACAGTGCCAAGCAGGACAGGCATGGCAAAGAAGGATGGAAGGCTCAAATGATTTTTGTCCAGAAGTGTCATTCTGGCGTCCTGCTTTGGTTATTTCGCTGGCATGGTCTTCCGGTCTTCCGTTTTTTGTGCTACTCTGTGTGCGGAGACCTCCCAACCGCACCTGCGCAGCGAGGCCTGGCCGCACAGGAAGCGCACGGGTTCTTCCCCAAATGTGTTGGTTGGGAAACATCGCAGGAAACCCAGTTTTGGGGTTGATGTAGAATGATGTAGATCTTCCCTTTCGCCTTTCACCAATCCTTTGAACCGTGCTTTGGGTTGTGAATGGCAGTGCAAAGTAAAATGTAAAACATGTGCTCTCCAACGAACACATCACATGGAAGTGGAGTTCCCACCCTGTTTACAGATAGGAACGTCGTCTTCTAAGACGGCTTTACCATTTCCACTTCCATGTGGATGTGTTCCTCTAGTGGAAGGACACAGTGACGACACACGAGGACACGCGATCATCGGTCGCGTCCACACGGATCGGTCGCACCTTCTCTCAACGCTGCCTCACACTCCATGGCCCTGGTCCTCTCCTCTTGCACTTTCGCCTGTGGAGCTCATCACTTCGGGGACATGTCAACAGGCGCCCTGTACCAAAAGCTATACAGTTAATTCCCAGCGGCCCAGCGTTGTTCTATTCCTGTCAAGGTTCAAAAGTCAAAAGTTTCAAAAAGCAGTTCTTGACGCGTTTAAGGGTCATCCAAAACATGTTCCTCTCGGAAATGAACACATACGCCTCATTTTGGAGATGTCACAACAAAAAATTGTCGCTAGTCATGTCGCATCTGCAATCTATTGACTCTACCGCACACCCATGCCTCCGCATTCTTCGACATCTCAGCCATCATTTCTTGCATTGATGCTGTGGTAGCCTCAAGAAAATTCCAAAGATCGTGACCACATGACCATACACGACCTATTAATGGGCACATTGAATTGGTGATGCGGGGTTTGCGTGAGAAACAAACCACCAATCATCAGCCCTCCCCATTCAAAACAACATATCTTTTGGTCAAGTTTCCGTCAACATATTATATTTCTTTCCCGCCGCAAACCCTGAAGAACCCCCAAAGTTTACACTAAGAAGTTACTGCAACGTTGGAAAAAGTAGCGCACGACACTCACCCCAACTTAACGTGCCCCGCGCAAGTCCGGATAGGCAATTGCAAAGTCCCAAGGGTTAACTTCAAAACATCTATATACATACTGAAAATATATATGTTAATATATAATATATACATATCGTATCATGTGGTAGAACGTCATAGACTCAATATATCCAATCACTGGTGTCTTCATTTGAACATATTTGGAACACACACGGGCAGGTGCGATCATCACGAGATTCTCAGCGCTGCCCGTTGAACAATGTCTCGATCCATGTTTGTTTCCTTCCACTGAAAACATCTGGAGCCGTCCAACAAGCGTTTCCCAACGTGTGCCCTATTAAACGCATGTTTTTGGGGCGCCTTTCCCGACCAGAAGCTACCTTTATGCAGCCCCAATGCGATTAGCAATCCTCAATTGCTTCAGTGTCGTCCTCAGTGCCGCAACATTAACATGCGTACCCAATGCCTGCCTTTCCTGCCCAAAGCCACAGTCATGCATGAGGTAGCCGTCCCAACAGCGTCACTGATTGAGGCTCGGGTAGATGAGGGGAGGTTTCCACGTGATGAGCAGCTCGGCCGGCCATTAGGGCGACCATTCGTTTGATCAGCCCAAACTCGGTCTGACCACTGAACGGTCGAACCGACCGGACCGCCGCGAGCCGACCACCACCGTGTCCCAAGGGTCCAAAGGTCCGAGCCTCGTGCGCCTTCTGGTCCTCTGCCCGGGCAGCGGCGGCCGAGGCCTTGTCAGCCTCCACAAGCATTGGGGATGATGGCCGGTTTGATTGCAGGGATGGGCTCACATCGTGCACATGGGGAGGATCAGGTACGCTCATCATAAAGCTGCGAAGTGCCAAACATTTGAAAGCTTACCTCTTCCTAATCAAAAATAAATGGGAACAAACAAATAGAATAAGGGTTCTAGAATAGTTCATGAAAAACATTTTTGTTAAATTACTAACCCAGTATGCCATATCATCTCCACGCACAAAGTCATTCTCATGACACGATGTCGATCTACATGACGTTGGTGTTGAAAAGCTTGGTCCGATTTGGCCACCAACCTCTCAGCTTCGACCATGACCGGCTTCACTCGAGACGGCTTCGTGTTCAACGCCTCGCTGGCCGTTTGCAGCTCTTCAAAACGTTTGGCCACCGCTTTCTCATGCTCCTCAGGAGACAAAGACCCCGAGCCACAAGAGCCAGGTGACGCGAGAATTGCGGGCAAAAGAGGTCTGGTTTTTGGGAGGTGAGATGAGGATTCAGGAATCACTTCTCTGATGGGTTCCCAATTCACCGAATGACTTTGTAATAGCGTACGGTCTCGGATTCGATCCCCAACTCACGTCGTTGAAGGGACTCGGAAGAGAATGGTCGCTTGGATAACGGATCAGGGTACTGTAATGTACTGTATATAGAGCGAGCTCCATGCGAGGACACGTGACAAACATCACATCACCCTCAATCTTCACTTTTGTCTTGGACCGTGTCGGTCCAGAGGTGAAAGGTGAAGAAGCTCCTGGAAGCTATCATATAATATATATATACTTATGGCTCGAGGGACTGATGTCCAGGAAACACCTCAATTGACTTGGTAACGGAGCACCAGTGGCCAGTGGTGTTCGCCATGCAAGGACATCATTGACATCAGTAAACCCCGCATGGCGTCCTGCGTCTTCTCAACGAGGGCTTTGTGCTCGCTAGTCTGAGCAAATCGCGGCAAACAACTTTGGCACCCCTGTAGATTCCCCTATCCAAGCCTTCAAAGTTGTGATTCACCACAAAAAGTCGGTTAAAATTAGTTGAATCATGTTGAATCGATTAATTATTCAAGCTTTCACAGTGACACCAATCTCTCTTTGGATGCGAGCGCTTCCCCGCCTGGGCGGCTAGACCTGGCATGTTGTCCCGCCGATGTGGTGAAAGAAACTGTGAGAACGGTCAAAACAATCATAAAATGTGGTGCTTCATTGGGTTCATCTTTATTAATAGACATCTTTGACTGGAAAAAGCCCAAGTATAGAAATCCCATGAAATCTTCCACCAAATCGGATTGGCGAGTGGCGAGTCCATCTCAGGTCGTTCAGCCTTGAGGTTGTCCGTCTGATCCGTCTGTGAGTCATTTGCCGCGCCTTCTCTCAGCGCCGCCTCACACTCCATGGCTCGGGTCCTCTCCTCCAGCATCTTAGCCTGTCGGCGACTCCGGAAACACAGAAACACCGTCATTTCACAAATATGGCATATAGTCCGAACAAGACCCGAAAAGGGTTGTCTCTTGAGGAATACATCTGATATCATCTGATCATCACTAAACTCGTCTATAATCTTCTACACAAACGTTTCACAGTTCACAACCCACTCTCATCGGCTTGACCCGAGGGTCTGGAGGTCCGACCTTCGAGGACTCGCTTGAAACTATCAACATCCTATCTGGCAAGCGTGCCCTTTTAGAAAGCCTAAGACTGGCTGGGGTGGGCAGATTTTTCTCCACGGAATTCAGACGGGTACAATCGGTGGAGACCTTTTGTGCTTTCTGACTTTGGAACAATGCCGGCCTCGGCATTCTTAGACATCTCTGCCATCATGTCTTGCATTGATGATGTGCTGACCTGAGCCACAGCATGTCAATGCTTTGCAAGCCTCCTGATGGCATGACCTTGACCTGTCTACACAAATTTTCACGATGACAAACCTCGCCATTGACATCCATTAACCATCCCTCATCTATATAATTCAAATCCAATCCTCTCTCTCTCTCTCTTCCCTGCTTACAAGCTCACTTGGAAATGAAACACATTGCTACCACAAGAAATGCTTACGTCACATTCACTGTTCCACGAGTTGTGCCTAAAGCTGACTAATCATTATCCTTGAGTTCACCAACCCTGCCCCAGTGCAATCAAAGAGGCTTATTGCATGCAATGGCAATAGATGTGCATAAACATATACTGTATATTGCACATATATATATATATATTAGACAGATAGACAAATAGATAGACATGATGCTTGGTTTGTGAATGTGTGTTACATGAACAAAACCTATATATAGGAGCAATTGAACCCAGGATCATTACTCTATATCTATGTATATATAAAGTCATTATGATTGACCGCTCGGAGACGCCGGTGGATCCCTTGCAGCGGCACCTCGGCGCTCTTGGAGATCTCCGCCAGCGCGGCCTGGTCGCTCCCGAGCCATACGGAGCCATACCGGCGACCGTTTCTAACCAAAGCCTCTCCAACCGAATAGCAAAAGAAACCTAGTAGCGATGGCCTCCACCCTAGTAGCAAATGGTCTCTTACTGAGCAAACATCAAGGACACATATCACATGACCTGTCTTGGTCCCTGACCAGCAATCCCAAGTCAGGAACACCTAGAATGACAGAAAAAGAAAAACATGGCCAGACGGTCGCACTCAATTTTGCAATTATGGTGCGTTCAATGTTTTTTTCATGTACATCCTGATCCGTGGGAACACCTTGGAAGCCGTGGAGAAAGGCCACACCAGTCCTGGTCCTGGCCTCTTGTGCCTTGCGGTCGTCTGCCCGCGCGGCAGCTGCCGCAGCCTTCTCGGCCTCTTCAGCCGGTTGGACATATATTCTAATAACTATTCCAATAGATATATACGATAGGGTAAAGCATCGGCATTTTATAGGCTAACACCGGTGGGGGATTGACAATATATATATATAATTGTGTCATGTAATTGTTTCATACATACAAATGATTATTAAAGAATCATATGAATATATATTAATTAATATATACATATATGAATATATAATATATGTGAATGGTGTCTTGTCCTGTTCCAATTGATTTCAACACATGTCTAATTAATATGACGTCCACACATAGATCGTTTGACTGCCAGTGTTGTTGTTGCACCCAACACGTACAACGATTTACATCCAACTAGATAAGGTCTTGCCAATGGTTCTGCCCAGTTGCCAAGGATATATGCATGTGTCCATCCTTCCAACTCTTGAAAAAATTGACCCCAAAAGCAGTGAAACAATGCAAACCTCAATATCTTCACTACAAGTACCAGATGTTTTTGCCCAGCCTTATCTAATTAGATATCAATGATCGTTCAATCTCAATGTCAAGTTCTCCCGCTGGGCGACGACTCATGCCTCAGTGGTGGCTTTGAGCTCTTCAAGGCGCTGTGCCACCTCCTTTTCTCGCTCCTTTTCGCGCTCCTGGAGCTGACGGGAACGACGGCAGAACGACCGCGCTGTGCCACCCCCCACACGGTGTTGCACGACGAGCACGAACATGGTGTTGCCAAACGTCCATCATGGAATCATGGGCCCCATGGGCGTCCACTTCCGTCAACCTGGCCGCCCCAATCGAACCCCCCCATCGAAACTGGCATCATTCGAGTCGCCCCAGTCCTCCTGGGCCTTCCGGTCCTCTGCCAGGGCAGATGCCGCCGAGGCCTTGTCAGCCTCCGGTCCATCACATCTTGGGACATTCGGAATGAACGACCCGTCGAAACCTGGTCTGTTTCAGATGTTTGAAACCTGGTTTTCAGGCAGGTCTGCTACAGTCTGCTACCATCTACTCAATTCTCCGTTCCTTGTGAATTGCCGCCTTCAATGTAGTAAGCGGAATCCTGCCTCACTGGCAGCTTTGAGCTCCTCGAAGTGCTGTGCCACAGCTTTTTCATGCTCCTGGCAGCTCGGGGGATGGTGAAGCAATCTATTGTTACTAGTAGTTAGCTTTATTGTACAGTACGGCCAGGAGCCCCTAGTAGTTTCTCCTTGCTTCGTAAAATCCGCCATTTCCGGAGATGTCTCATCGTAACATCAAGCATCATCTCCCTATCTCCAACAGGCACTTGCCGCTCGCAGTGTCTATGAGATTATGGTTGGTGGAAAAGTTCTGAAAACTCTTGTCAGGCAGCTACCGACTTCACGGAAAACAGTGGGACATGGCTTAACCTAAATGACTTGGCATATCTTGGCATCTAAAAAGACTTCTAAAACAATTGTTGTTGAGCAACATTGTCGTTTTTTGTGTGTTTCTCTTAGTCTGCAGTGACCATGACCCCTCGGTCGGGGCGCGGAGTCGAATCCTGGTCGACCCGCTCGGGCCCATCGGTGACCCGTTCGGGCCCATCGGAGCGGTGGTTCAGAAATGTTCAGAATGGAAAAAATACATAAAACAAGATGTGACCTGAGCGGGGGGGTTGATGTTTTTGTTTTTTTAATCATTGTTTAAACTTGGATTTGCTTAATAGGACCCCCCAAAAAAAAAAACAATTATTCCCCCATTGCGAAGGGAATTTACAAAATTTAACCCCGCCCAAACATGCCAAAACCAGGCTGGCGGCTGGAAGCGCAAGCACCGAAAACACGGAGAAACTGAAGCACTTGACTCCCAGACCGAGCTTCACTGGGAGAACATACTGGACTCCCAATTCGCCCCTCGTCGCCCCTCGTGGCCGTCCTTGGTCTTCTCGATGAGGGCCAACTGCTCGCCATTCTGGGCGGAGTGACGACGAAAGGTTGGGGGGAGGTCACATACCAGTCCGTCCTGTTGCCGGGCCTTCGTTGGCCAAAAGGCAGCAACATGCAAAGAATCACAGTGCATGTGCATTAATGTGGTCTATACTTGAAAAATGTAAAGTCCACAAGCATCACAAGCTAAATGGTCCACACTCGATAGTGGGGACAGGACGTTGCACTCTTCCACGAGCAAACCAATTATGTATATATATAGGGTGTTGATCCAAATTCCTTTATCTGGGATCCGTCATTCTCAGCCAGAAAAAATACGTTAGCCAAACTTTTGCCTTCCTGTGCTTTATCATGTTTTATCTTTCGCCGAAGTATGTTGTATTTATGTGTGCCATGTATGTTGTATGATGGATATCAATTTTGTTTATGTCAACGGCTTCTTCTTTACTGGCAAATACGAAGTAAAAAAACTTTACTGTTTGTCGGCATGCGTCTTGTACTTGACTGTTGACACCCTGTACGTATCTTTTGTTTCTCCTGGGTGTCAGCAAGAATCAAAAATTGCAAGAATTACTGTAGTAGCCGGTCACTCAGACTTACTCATAATGGGCTGGGGGTCAGATGTGGCAGGGTGAACTTTTGTCAATCTTGAGCTGAACTTTCGCCAAACTGTCGCCTTTTGCGGGGTAGAGTTTTGTGGCAAAGCCGCCCCCCCAAAGCAGGAGCAGGAGCAGGAGCAGGAGCAGTAGTAGTAGTAGTAGTAGTAGTAGTAGCTGCAGCAGCAGCAGCAGTAGTAGTAGTAGTAGCAGAAGCAGAAGCAGAAGCAGCAGCAGCAGCAGCAGCAGTAGAAGTAGTAGTAGTAGCAGCAACAGCAGCAGAAAGAACATCTTTAGCCATATCTTTCGCTAGAAGAAGTTACTTTCGCGAACTCGAGAAAAAACTTTCGCCAAATGAGGTTGTAAATTTGACATGTTCCAGGGTCATCGCTATGTATTAGGACCTTTAGATCGACAACCATATGTGTTTTTCAATGGAGCCATCAGAGTCACCAAAGTTCAAAGAATATCAAAGAATAGAGATTGAAAGGGTCAATGAGTCTCTTCGACACTCTTGAGACAAGTCCTTGCTCGAGCAAACCAGCTGGGACGAGATGATCAGGCGACCTGCCTGGTGTGCGAGCTGCGCCGCCAAGCCCTCTGTGATGCGCAGCAAGGAGCCTTCCGCTTCCCGCGCTCGCTGCGTCTCCTGCAAAGCAGCGGAGTCCAAGGGGGTGGGTCAGCTTCCATTGAACCTCCTCCGTGGTACTATTTTGATCTAGTTTGCATCAAAAAATGGAAGAGAACTCGGAACCTCCAGGCTGACTTCTTGTTGGTTTGGGAATCGTACAATATCGGCAGATCGGTCGTTGCTACTGAGGCAATTGGTCTTTACATGGCTATTGATTTAGGTCGGTCAAATTTACGATATAAGGCTGCAAGTTTTACGGTAGGGCCAGGTAGGGTATAGGATACATTAGCGCATCTTGAAGCATACGATGGAGGGGCCTATTGAAGATGCGTTCTTCATCACCCCAGCAGGGGCCTTTATATATATATATATATAGATAGATATAAGAATGGACAACCAGGTGGTGCTTATCTTGCTCCACATGATAAAGCCCGCATGCCGCATGCTTGGTTGTTTGATGTTGCTTGAAAATTGTGACTCACGTAAAGCGTCGACTGTACACTTCAACCTTTCCAGCATCAGGGATGGACTCTCGGCTTCGGCATGTTCATTCAATGCCTATCTCAAAGGGACTGACCCTCAAGCTACCTTGATCAGATGGAAAAATCATAGGGATTTCCACTTGATCAAGCTACCTCAAGTTTGAAATTGCACAAAATCCACCTTGATCAGATGCAGTTTGATCCTCACACCATCCGAGTATTGCGCCCCCGATGTCATTGGATGCGGACGATCACCGTATAGAATGAACGTCGAACATTACACCCTGGAAGACGATCCCATGGAACCTGAACCCCCTGGTTGGTAGAGGAAAATAGTCTTCTATGGGACCATTGTCAGGGTCTATGTTAGTTTTCGGGAGTGGAACAAGGATTCAATCATGATTCATCTATGTTCCTTCAGTCGCACATTGAACGTCAGAACACCAAGATCAGGAATTGCAAACCTCATGTCTAGACCACGAATTCCCCACAGAATCCGCTATCCGCTTTCCACGAATCGAGCTATGGAGCGTGGTGGACTCCTTCTCGAGTGCCTCCGTCAATGCTTGGTTCTGCTCCTGGCACACCCACAGTGACCCAGTCAGAAAGAAAACCAAGTCAAAAATGAACAGAAAGAGGTCTTGATCACAGCACTATTGCAAAGCACCATGGTGTCACACAGTGAGACCTGTTGATCAAGGCGTTCATCCCCAGTTGTAGCTGTTGTCTTGACCTTTCTTGGTATTTCTGTGCCGAATTTGCTCATGGCCTCTCTTCATGGAATTCAGCTGCGATTGAAATGCGAATCTTAGGCCCCCAAGGTGTATCCCACATGTCACATGTGCCTTTTGTGTGTCCTGGGAGTCCTGCGAGAAGAAATGGTTGAATTGGCAAGCTTATTGCCAGTGGATCACAGGCAGTGGAGTCCCAATTGGCGTCACTAGTGACCAAAGCTGGTCTTGGTTACACTAGAATGATTCCAATTTGAATGCTTGGTTCTCGAAATGCCTACTCCCTTGCTTGTTTTCTGTCCCAGGTACGCTACCGTTCCCAGACCAGCTAGTCTATGGTAAGCTGACACCTTGCAAACTTCGAAACCAGTCCCAATCCCCAATCCAGTCGCCTCTTGTGCCTTCCGGTCGTCTGCGCGTGCAGCGGCAGCTGAGGCCTTCTCTGCCTGCCAGCATTGTCAGTTTGCATGCTCACCTGCGTCCTGTTGGCACTGCTACATGTATGACATGTATGCATGGTAAAAGGGCCATCAAGATGTATGAAAAGTTCGAGCTACTGAAACCATCATGCCGAATTTGCAAACGGACTTGCTTGGATAAACTTGTCGCGCAACAATCGCACAAAATTCCTGAAGATTCTCAAGATGCTAAACTAACCCCAAACCCGTCGAAGCAACTGTTTGATGTCTTCAGAGCTCTTGGCAAGACTTGCAAGCACAGTGCAAACCACAGACCACCATCGCAGCACAAGAGCAACTTTTGTACTGCACTACACTCACTACACTAAGCGGAATCCCGCCTCACTGGTAGCTTTGAGCTCGTCGAAGCGCTGCGCCACCTCCTTTGAATGCTCCTGGACTGGACTGGCTCAACGCCTCCCCTACAAGACGTGTATTTTTGGCCGCAGGCTCCTTGCCCTCATGACCAATGGCAGGGACCCTGACCAATTTGCACGCCTAATTCCAAAAAGTTCTCAATGGCTTCCACTGAAAAATGCGAGTCATGTAGAGGCATCTGCTTAGTACTACCGCATCACACACTAGGTCTACAATCTGAGGAAAAACTCTAAAGCCTTTCACAACTTGGATATGCGTTTGAAGATCCAAACTCTGGGATACAGCACGGTACGTACTAGAAGGAGTTGATCTATTGCATTCCTATGCATATGAATATCTCATTTCTATGCATGTCTTCAATAGGAGGACTAGGACCCTTGCAAGTAAAAAACATTCTCAACGAGTCTCAACTCCTTTAGTCTGTGGACTTGCAGTAGAGAAATTATCCTGCATCAGTATATTCTCACATGTACTGTTTTAGAGATTGTGTATTCGCACACATTCTAGAAACGCATCATTAACGACCAGCTGGCTTGCAATCACAATAATTCTTGTCTACACGATCCCTCACCATCTACCCCCTTGAAAATTACAGCAAAGTCCAGTCCTCTTGGGCCTTCCGGTCGTCTGCCCGGGCAGCCGCTGCCGAGGCCTTGTCAGCCTGCGCCGTAATCCGTCTCTTGGAGTGTATCATCTCGGATGTCTGGAACAGCGCAAGTGACTCAAAGGCCACGCTTCAGTGTCACTTCGGATATCAAAAGAACACAAAGAAAAACTTTTCATGTGGATGAGAGGATTTTGTAACACGATCCAAAACTTCTTTTGCCAAGTGCCCTTTTGTACCGCACTACACTCACTACACTAAGCGGAATCCCGCCTCACTGGCAGCTTTGAGCTCGTCAAAGCGCTGTGCCACCTCTTTTGAATGCTCCTGGACTGGACTGGCTCAACGCCTCCCTTACCTAAACGGATTGCCAACGAGACGTGTATTTTTGGCCGCAGGATCCATGCCCTCATGACCAATTGCAAGGACCCCTCCAATCATCTGATCATCAAGGTGCCTGATAGAGGGGCCCCCCAAACTAGCAAATGTTCCGCAGCTAAAGCATGTTTAAAGGAAAGTTGAAATGTATAGTGTTGTCATGTCTTGTCATGAAGAGATTATAGACTTTGTAAAGTGTCATCCTATGCCTTCGCCGGATGATGAGGGTGGTGATGCCTTCTGGCATAAAGTGATAAAACGGATGGAAGAGAAGGAATGAGTAAAACCTATGATAATCTTTTCATGTGGGCTTTGACATTATAAAAAGAATGTATGAAAACATAACGGATACAAAAGTCATCATTGATTGTGGTAAGAAATTTAACAGTGATGGAAAAATTAACGCTATGGCATTAAATTTAGCTTTACTAACAGCATCGATTGCTGAACTGAACGACGATGCAAATAATCTTATCACAACACAAATACGTGTCATTGAACACTGGTGGGATGGAATAGGCACGTGGATGGCATAAGCACGATTAATTCATATATCTTAATTAAATATTATGAACTAATCATAGTCCCATAAACCATTTAAAGATATAGCACATTATATTGTATAGTCCAATGACGGACAATATGGAAAAGAAATGTTCTAAATGTAGGCAACTAAAGTTGATGGAAGAATTTGATGAAGGGAAGGCACGATGTAAGAACTGTAGTGAATATAAACAGCAATACAGAGAAAACCACAGAGAAGAACTACGACTTAAAGCAAAGGAAATGTATGAACAAAACAAGAAACAAATACAAAACAAACACAAAGAAAGAGTTGAACATCCTATCTGTAAGATTGAGGTAGGGAGAAACACAATGAAAAGACACGAACGAAGCAAACGACATCAAGACATTATGACCAACACAAAAGAAACCAAACAAGAACGAGAACCTAAAAACATTGAAAAAGAAAAAGAACAAGTAAGAAGACAACAAGTAATAGACGATATTAATCATACATTCCCTTCATACCAAGAACTCGGAACATAACTATAGACTATAAAACCTTACAATCTATAACTATAACTTTATTGTAATCTTAACCTTTAAAACAAAACCCCAAAATAGAACACAACAACCTAAACAAATCTTAACCTCATCTTAAAACAAATAGCCCTGGAAAAGTTAGGGACTGAAAAGTCTCAGAACATACAGGACATAAGACATCAAAGGCAAAGGCAAGGTTCATACGTTGGACTTCAACATAAAATCATATAAGGCAACACTGAACAAAAACTGTCCTACAATCCCTGTTCTACCATTTTTGTTAGGGGAGGGGAGGTGCAGGCCAGAGGTTCGACGCTTCGAGCCAGTTTGAAAAAGGGTGTGATGTGTTTCTTGGATCATGAGCAGGCAATGAATCCAGCGCATTATGCAGGATGATTCGACAAACAGGATGATTGTTCCAAATCCACCGACTAAAAGGAGTTGCAAATCCATGTTCATGCGAAAGTCGTGGTGTTGGTACATCGGAGTCAGTTGCAATAGAGAACCTCCACTACAACTACGATTGGAACGGACACCCTTCTTTTCCACCCCGTGGCCTATTTTTTCCACCCCTACTATTTTTTTCTATACCTTCCATTTTGACCCTGTTGCTTTGGAAACCTTCCTTTTGGACCCCGTCTGTGGTGAAAACCATCCTTTGTGACCTCGTTTGTTGTGAAAACCATTCTTTTTGACCCCACCTGTTGTGAAAACAACTTTTGTTGACACCAGTGGATTTTTCCACTCTCATACCTTTCATTTGGACCTGTCTGTAGTGAAAAACCATCCTTTTTTGACCCCGTCTGATTGACCGCAAAAAATCTTTTCCACCCCTATACCTTTCATTTCCACCCCTATATCTTTCATCTCAGACAGGGTCGATATATATAATATGGTTTCGGGGTCAGAAAAAAAAAGGTAGGGGTTAAAAAAAGGTAATGGGGTCAAATAAATAGGCTCCCCGAAAAGCTCTTCAGACTTGAAACACCACTTGCATGTGCGGTTGAATCTGTAGACAGTGGGATGCGTTATAGCAAAGATTAGCAAAGTATGTTGCACAATCCTCTACAGATTCAACCGCACATGCAAGTGGTGTTTCAAGTCTGAAGAGCTTTTCTTCATTTTGTCGTGGCGCCAAACTGGCTTTGGATTGAAGGATGCTTGATATGCAAAACCAAACAGGAACCACATCGCCTAACCTCAATCAATACATGAATTTGAAGCAGAAGAACAACTTGGTAGAATTTGAACCTGAACCTACACATAGAAACTCTGACCACCTCAACAATTATCCTTTTCATTCAATCCAAACAATGAAGTGAAAGTTATGGCCCTAAAACACGCATAACAAGACCCCAGAAAAACAACAAAGGCTCAACACACAATTTCAAGAGCCAAGAAATTCAACGAGGTGATTGATGAACCAAAACTCCCCCAGAACCCCCATTTTATCATTTTTTCTCCCTCACTACCTATCACCACCTCCTTCGAAGCTGGCATCAGTCCTCTTGGGCCTTCCGGTCGTCTGCCCGGGCAGCCGCTGCTGAGGCCTTGTCAGCCTGCCCCGTAATCCGTCGCTTGGAGTGTATCATCTCGGATGTCTGGAACAGCGCAAGTGATTCCAACCCCACACTCTACCATCATTTGGGATACTTACAGTATAAGCTTTGTTTGATTTGCTTTCCTCCGATATCTTCCTGCTTCTTCCTAAATGTTCTACACTAAATGGATTTGTGATGATTTCTGGCTTCAAAGGGGAACTCTGCTCTCCATCAACCCCCGCGGAATCCCGCCTCGCTGGCTGCTTTGAGCTCGTCGAAGCGCTGCGCCACCTCTTTTTCATGCTCCTGGAGCCGAGGACTCGCTTTTTCCATCCCTCACCCAAAAGGATTCACATCCTGAAATGAAAGGGTCTCTTTCCAGCAGCAGGCACGCAAAACACCCCTCTCCGCCAAAATCAAGTCAACCCTCGCTATGATAGTCTATTTTCACGTTTCTGGTCTCTCCCATCATCAGGTTGGCACAAGGCCAGATCAAGGAAACCTTTTAGAAAGGTTTCGTACACACTGACATGTTGCTTTGCAAGGCACAAATCTTGTATCCGCGATGAGGAGCGCCTTGGCTTTGTCCATTCTCTTCTGATGTAATTACAATGGACACAACTTAGATGTCGGTTTGGGTGTTCCCTATAATGTTTATCAAACACTAAACCTTTGAGTTCGAGTGCCGTTCGTTTGTTATTGGAGGATAGCTTGACAACTTGTTTCCATGCATTGGTTGTGGATCGGGCTTTAAGTGAGGGATTGCCAAAGGGCGTTGGCCTTCCCTTGGTGATTAATGTTTCTATTTGTGCATCTTTGTCTGCCTTCTTTCCAGAGATGCGCGAGTGGTCGAATCCATAATTGTAATCAAATTGGTCAGCTTGCTTCTCATCACCACGAGAAGAACTCAAACTCTGTCAGCTTGCTTCTCGAACCCATCCACCTTGGAAGCCTTGGACCGTCCAATCTAAGGTGGGGACACCCTTTCACTCACCCCACCGCTGCCAGCCGCGACCATTCCTCCAGCTGCTGCGCAAGCTGAGCGTCGGCCTCCCCGAGCGCCGCCGTCCGGGCGGTGAAGGCCATCTCCTTGTGGCGCGAAGGGTGGACACCACTTGCGCTGCGACTGGGGTGGGGGTCCAAAGAGATGAGGCGAGGGCCCTTCTTTCTATTTTTTTTGGATCGAATCCGGGGACATCTTCCTTTGATGAGATGTGATGTCTGCATGTTCAGCTGGAGCGTGGAAGGTTTGCCGGGACACACACAGTTTTGTTTTTCATAGTTTTTCAACGTCAATGTGAGAGAGGTCTGGAAGGATCGCGCAATCAGTCCGCTATTGCGTTGATCGCACAGGTAAAGCAGCCACCCCCTCGGTTTCTTTTTTCTTATCTTCTGTTGCTGTAGCATCTGGAAAGGTCCAGGGGGCTAAAACCAAACGCAAAACCGGAAGCGGGAGAAACCAGAACGGGAAACCGCGGGAAACACCCAATGAACGTGGTCTTTTCATGTCCTTTCGACTTGCCAATTGAAGAATGAGAAAGACACTCTCAACCGTAGGGGAAAATTGGCCCAAAACAGGAACCCATCCCCCTCCAAAGCTTCGCCACTGTCAGGTTTCCCACCAAATGCCCCAGCACCGGGCTCTCCGTTCACCAAGGTGCTAAGGTGCCAATGCGGCTCTCGAGAGCGCTATGGCTCTCCTTCACCTAGAGGGGGTCGGGCTTCGGGTTGAGAGCAAAACCCCCGGGACTCGTGCGGCGCGGCCGCCACGGACCGGTCCGTGCCGCCCGCGTCGCGCCCGCATCGCGCCCGCGTCGCGCCCGCGTCGCGCCCGCCTTGGCGGATTCGTCGTCGATGAGCTTCAGGATCTCGCCGTTCATCTTGTCCAACTCCTGGCTGACCTGCTCCACCTCTGCCTTCATCCTTGGTCGCTCCGTTGGAGGCGGTTGGAGGTCTCGAGAGACCTCCGCCCAAATGGAGGAACATGGAGGAACCTTCAAAGTTCATGGAATATCCATGTTGCAAGGAACCGTGGCTCATATCACCACCCTTTCAAGTGTGATTTTCCCACGTTCACCATCCCCATTGCTGTTGAAGACCACCACAACTTGAAACGGTGGAATGGTTAAAGGGTCCATCAAAAATCTGGTTTGGAAGACTATCGCTTTGCACAACCGTTTACTCAAGCTTTTGGTTCATCAACAAACATCAAGAAAAATGTAAAAGCACAGAGTCAGTCTATTTATTGAAGACTGCTCCATGTATAACCGTTTCATACATGTCCACACCATTCCACACCCTGGTTGAAACTGGCCCTTTTCCCGGAGATAGTCAGCATGCGCTCTTGGCACCATGGTTTTGACACGACGCTCCACCGCCTTGCCAAAAGTAGGACGTGCAAACTGAACAGATCAGCCCGGAGAATCCGAGCAAGCAGCTACAAAATGAATACCCGGCAGCTTGCATAAGCCCCCGGTCAAAATGTTAAATGTATGCAATTAAAATGCTGGTATTCACTGGCTTTGGCAGAAGGAGCTCGCTCGCACTGCCATAATCAGTCAACCACAATTTTCCGAACATCTGAGGAACATGTTCAAAAAAACTTGAGAGAAGGGAGACACGAAAGGTAGGACAGCGGGAAGAGAAGAGAACGCGAGAAGCAGGAACAAAAATGCAATGTTCGACATGGTGATTTATCCCCTCGGAGGCGACCTTTCGTAAATCGTAAATATATGTTCATATGCACTCTAATTGTTCAAACATATGCTCTGGAAATGTTCAAAAAGATTCTTAAGAAAACAAACTTGCCCCATGGATCAGATCATCACTGAGCATTGAATCGGAGCATCATAGGATTTGAACTATCCTGAAACCATAAGAGGCTCTCGAAGACGCTCCCCAGGAGAGAATTGACGTGCTTCACAAAACAAACTCTGGTATGTATCCCCTCGGGGAACACCTTTCGTGATTAGAATTTCATATGCACTCTTTCTAAATGTTCAAGAGGGTTTCAACTATCCTGAAATCATGAGAGGCTCACGAAGACGATCTCCAGGAGAGAATTGATTTTAGAGGGGGGGAGGGGGGGGGG